CTTAACTCCCAAAACCTAAAATTGATGAACACCTTTGTATGGATTTCACAAACACAAATGTTGCTTAAAAGAATAAATTATGAAAATAGAAAGTGCGAGGGTTTTATTCAAATGCGAACCAGTCTGCGTGACCAGCATCCGTGACGCGTGTCTGAATTAGAATTTGTATATGTAAATTTTAAAATGGCCTGTGGAGCTACATAGACAGCCATCATCATTAATATGGTCGGTGTTGAAGCTTGCAACGTTCTGATTAATGGATCCACCATGATCATGGCAGAAAAATATTAATACATCATGGTTCCTTATAGGATGACGCAACGCAAGATCGATTTAGTATTAGGGGGAACTCCCCTTTCTTAGCTGACAAAGCATGAACAAAGTTTTCACTTTCTATCAGTTTACTAAAGGGAAGTCTTTTAAATAGACTTCAACAGTTACTTGCGATAGTATTCCCTTACGTCTGCGTTGAACGACGAACGACTTTCATATTCATTATGTGGTTGTCTTGCTCCATTCCTTCACTTCTCGTGTTCGCTTTCTTAGTTCTTACAGTGATGGGCACTGCGGCGGATAAGAGCGCCGTTTTAACCTTGAAAGAGAATTCAGCAGAGAACATTGAAGGTTGCTATGGTCAAAGGAAAGACCTTGCTTTGTGTTTCGTCATAAACGAGACATTTGTTCAGTTGAAGAGCAACGATAACAGAACGTTAGCCCACTTCAGGGACTTACAGGATGGAATGTTCCTCTTTCAAGTACTGGACTATGTGTTCCTCGGGTAGGTCTTGAATACCTAGTTTGTTTGAAGACATGAGTGGGTTAAAAATTACTCTTTAGAAATCAAGTTTGCGACAGACGCGATAACTAAGATAGTAAGCAGTGTGATTGCTAGAGTGAAAGTATTTGAATTTGCCGTAAAGGGTTAGTTTTTTTTTGTTCTCTTTTTCTGTCTGACTGATTTATGTAACAGAGTATACTCGAAGGGAATTTACTTTTTATACCATTCTCTACTCATAGTTGCAATCAAAAATACGTAATGCGGAAATACACTCAATAATGGCAAGAAATTCATGAAACTACTTTCGGTCTATTAAAAATTCAAAGAGTGAACGTAAACAAAGGAAATAAACAAACAGGCTTTTTCACTTCCCTTTGTATGTTTCTTCCCAGCTTCAAAAGAAAAAAGAAAATTAAAAAAAAAAGGAAAAATCCAATAGGTGGAAAGGAACTTTTTGTCCTTGCAATTGTCAAAGTGATTTTCAGCACTCTTAGGAATGCATCTCGAATCCTAGGACCTCCTGGTTACGGAAAGTGATCGTAATTTTAACACCTGAAACAAAAGTATAATTTGAATTGTAGATGATTCGTCTCAAATTTGATATTAAAATGAAATGAAACGTGTCTTAAGTGCAAAAGAAAACTTACTAAGCTAAGCTAAAATTGAGGCCGGTAAGAGACGTAACCCACACGTCGCAACAACGCGTCATTTCTTTTCGACAAGAATGAAACATTTTGTCGGATTTAGAAGTTAAAAAACTGTAGTCTGTCAAGCAGTGGTCTGTCAAGCAGTGGTTATAAATGACTCTTTCTTGCATTTGGTGACGTAGTTGCATTTAATTTTGTATGTTGAAAATACCTCAAGTGACAGATTTTGATTTTGTACAATTTCAACAGGAAAAAGTCGTCTAAATTTCCTGTGTATCTCAAGTTTATTCCAAGAAAACACAGCAACCTACATGACAATACCTGGAAGGAAATCTTCTACTTGGAAAACAATTATCCCGTGACAAACCGAGATTCAGAGTTTTCTGACAAATTTCATTCGGCATTGGACCGGCTGAAGAACACAAGGAAGCTTGTGTTATTGCACCACCTGTCGACTGAATTGATAAAGAACGTAGGTAACCACCCTCTCTTGATGCGGTTCCACATGCTTGCTATGACTTTAGAACCAAAATACGGCTCTAATGGCAGCGTTGTCCCAGGCAGCAGTGTGACACGAGAGAAGAGAGCACTTTTTCAAGAAGATAAACACAATACTTGTCAAGATTTGCGTTCTGATCCCTACAACAACGATTGTTTAGGAATGTGTGGCCTGGGATGCACATGTTGGTCCCGAATTTGTGGCAATTGTTGTCGAAATCAGTTTTGCTATGAACACGACCTGTGTTGTGGACATGCTTGGATCTCCACAGGCTGCTTACTACCGTTTATTCACACAATGAGTTGTGAAAACGGGTATGGTGGCTACCCCAGCTGCCTACAATGAGTAAACTTGACACTCCATGTAAACAGACCAGCGAGACTACGCAGGGGGGGGGGGGGG